CCAAAAGGAGTAAATAAGAATACAAATATGTTATATCTGCACAGTTCTGACAACTAGTAGATGATAAGCAAACATTACTTCTTTCCATCTTCTCCATCCCTAGTATAGCTATGAATCTATCTCCAATCCTCCAAAGTGGCTTTATGCCCTATTTTTGCAGCCTGACTGATCTTCTGATTCTCTAGTTAGAGCCAGTATAACAGTCAGAATTTTATTAATTCATTGATTTAGAAATATTTATTGCATTATCTCCTATGTGCTAAGTACTGTGCTAGGTGCTGGGGACGCAAGAGCAAACACAAGGAAGTGAACATAATTCTTGCTCTCAGAAGCTTGGTCCAGTAGGGAAGGTAGATTTTGTTATGAAAAGGGAAGTTCAAGTTATTTATGAGCGAAAACCAGAAAACTAACCTAGTAAGGAAAATCAGGGCAGATTTCCTGTGCAAGTGAAATTTAAGCAGAGATCTTTGCGCATTTTTTAATAAGTTCTCTATGAACATTTTGAGTGGGACAACTCTTCCTGAAAAGGAAATGCCCCGAGCTCTGTACTACATTTAGCCTGCCTGGAGCCTGCTGCCCACTAAGAGCAGAAACACTCTACAGTCCCTGCAACCACGACAAACTTCCCCACACAACTCCAAATGCCTCCTGGGGAACAAGAGCAACTTTGGCTGAGAGAAGAAAAGGATTAGTTCCCTCCAGAGGAGAGAACAAAATGAGCAGAGGCAGATGGGTGGTAAGCAGCATTTCTTTGGGGCAACTCCCTGGATCTGGTTGGGAGGGGGCCACAGAGAGAGAGGCATCAGAGGAGGCTGCAGGGGTTAAGCAGATACGCAGAGACCCTGGGACAGATGGATATGAGCCTTTAAAGGATTTTAACCAGAATAGTAAAAGGATCAGATTTGCTTCTTATCTAAAATGCTGCTTCATCCTCAACTGTTCTTCCAGTTTGGGAATATGGTGCTAATAGCTCCTGTCATTTCCTTTTTTTGCTAATTTTTATTCTAAATATGTATTTCTGCCACATCCTCTTGGTAACGAGGGTCTGGACAACTTCATCTGAGAACTGTACAGCACACTGCCCTCTGTAACAGTAACAGCTCATTGGATTTAAAGGATTATCATACAGTTCTTCCTCCTCTTTCGCTTTCTGCTTCTCTACATTTTATCCTTCACTACTGAGTATCATATTTACCACAAATTAGAAAGAGGAAAAAAAAAGCTTAACTTCTTTCAACTGTTGCATTCATAATTCCAGATCTTAATATCTGGACATTTGTCAGAACGGGAGAGAAACAAAGAGGTATGTGTCTATCCATGTAAAATTCATGATCAGATATTAAGTTATTTTCAAACTGAAATTCTGATAGCAACTAACTAGTCCTACATTTATAAAAACCGAAGGAATTCACAATAAGTACTAGGAAGTACTGAGTGTTACACTGTTGTCAATAGTTTATGGTTTTGAGCAGTTCAAGCTCTTCACTTCTGTTGAACAACTGAGTGAGATAACACTTGGATTTAGTTTTTCCTATAACTTCACATGGTTTTCACTGCAATTTCTACTTGATCACAGTTTTCTGAAAATGCTGTCACCTCTTAGGTAGAATTATTAGAACAATCACACTGACTGGAAAGAGCAGCACCAATGTTTTTCACTATGTTTGATATTTTAAAATTCCACACTTGTAGAGCTCTTTGTTGTTTAGAGAAGAAAAAAGCAGCATTGCCATGACACCAAAAGGCATTATTTTTAAAAATGAAAAAAATTATGCATAAATTAAATAACATGAAATCTTCAAATCAACTTTCCAGTTGGAAATCAATAAAATTAAGTCTTTACAAAGACTAGTGATAGATAAATTTTTTTAGTAGGTAGGAAGCAGTCTAGGTTCCATATTCACAAGAAACATCTAAATAAGAAATTTCATTTGGTGTTGAGATGGCATAAGAAATAAGATGTGTTTTCCAGGCCTTAAACAATTAATAACTTATGGCCAAATACATAATTCTTTTTAAATCTCATTTATTAAAGACCTAATGCCATAGTTATTTACTCATAGTTTCACCATCATAGATGGCGAGTTATAATGAGTGACAAATTAGTGGTAGAATATGGATTGAATAAAGCTAAAGATAAAAGTAACTATGAGAATAAAATTAATAACTATAGCATAGAAGTCTACATTAGAATGGGAGTAAGAAACTGTTTCACCTTAGTTCTCACAAAAGAATAAGAAATTTCTTGGCATATCACCTTAAATGATGTCTCAAATATTACATGAAGATTTAGAAGGAGCTCAATAAAAGAAATCAACAAAATGGTAAAGAAAAATTAATATTTTAATTTAGCTTAACAATGTGTTCCACATGTGTTCCAAAATTTAAAAATTATTTCTGTGGACTCAAAAGACTGTCTAAAATGTTATGTTATACGCCAATGCCTATAAAAAACTTTCTCTAAATGTCTCTCTGTAGTGGTTCATGTTTTCTACATTAAAGGTATAACTGAATAAACACATTTTACTTTCACCTTTGTCTCTGTTTTTATTTAATCTCAAAATGTACATGTTGTAAGCCCAATTAAAAACAGAATATCCTTCTGAAATAAGTCTATGTATTTGTAGAACTAAATATAGTAAAAGATCAAAAAATCACTTTCCAAACAAGTATCTGAAAGCCTTAATTCAGTCTATTTTACCAAAAATAAGAAAATTATTGCACAATTGTTTGATAGCTTTCATGATTAGCATGATTTTAATTTCCAATACTTAAAAGTAGAATCTTAGGACTAGCAATTCTGATAAGCTAAAATTCTGTTTGAGTCAATATTGCATCTTAAATAGGCAAGATAATTTCAGCAATGGTATAGGGAGTCCCTCATATCACTGCTTTGAATGCACACTACACAAAAGATCATAATTAAACAATTTGGTTGTCATCAGTAATGCAGATTTTTGAGTTAGAGCTTTCTGCTTTGACAATCCTAAGCCTAGAACACTGAAAATGTCTTAAGTCAAAGAACAAGTTAAAGTGATAGTACCAAAATGCAAATTCTTTCTTTATTCAATGCAAAAACAATCAATCATTTTAGTCAGTCTTATGACAATGACCTAAAAAAAAAAAAAACCTCATTAATGGTCATCTAGTGGCTCTATGTAACGACAGCTCAAAATTAATTTAGCATGTACATACATTAATATATCTTTCTATTAATTCATGAAGATACACTTTTGAATGTCTATCACACTTTTCTGAAATAAAATGACAGATTGATATTTGAGCTCAATTGATAAAGTCAGTAACTTTGCCCCTAAAGTGTTAGGTAAACACAAAATCACTTTTCAAATTTCTTAAAGACATATACATAAATCCACTACACCACATCTTCATACATTTAAGTAACTACAGAAAAATAGAACAAATGCAAACAAAACAAAATAAACATAACATCCTATCCTGCTAAAGAGAATAAAATCTAAAATGGGTTATAATACGATATATAAATTTGCCGGTGCAAATGTTCATCCACTCATTAGGTTAGAATACAAATCATCTGATGATTGCTAATGCTTAATTTGCATGTATGCTAATTAATTTTGTGAGCTGTTATTTGCTTTGACAGGATTACTTGCCTCTCTAGAGAACAACCTCACCAAAAAGCTGTAACTTCTAAATCTTCAATGGGTTTTGGAAACAGATTTCTCTAGTTCATTCAAATGATGTAAAGATGGCTTCCGTTTTAAAAGTTATTCTCTGCTAAGTGTTGTTTGCGTGAGTGTACTCTTATGCTAGTGCACTGTAATGTCATGTATTACTTCAAGTAGTAAGAAAATATACAGAGAAGATTTAAATATATAAACATCATTAAATACATTCAAATGGAAAAAAGTAGAAGAGATTTTTTTAAACTTTAAACAAAGTTTGATATAATTTTTCCTTAAAAAAATAAATATCAAAACAGGAACATCAAATTTACTCAGATACTGTATTTTATAAAAAAGCGGTAAACCACAGCATTAGATATATGAATCTTAGAAAACTCTATTTTGCATGGTGTAGGATTCCTTCAGCTATTACTATACAAAAGCAGATATATTTTCCTTTGAGATCTATAAATACACTAAGAAATTACAATGGCCTGTAAATACTCATATTTCACATTTTTATCCAAATGTTAAATATGATTTTTAAATTATGACAATCAAAATAAATCATATAAACATAGTGTGGTGCTGAAACACTAAATGGGAATTAGTGGCATACACAGCTAAAACAAAAAAAAGTAAAGGTGTAAAAGCAAGGTGAACAGCATTGCAATTGAAGTTTGACTCAGGCCATTACATTTCACACTTGATATAAATGCACAATTCTTGACCTATCTTAGTAAGGGCTATGTATTGTATACCAGGGGCTATTCTATACTCTCAGAAGAAGTGAAATGGTTAAACTAAAGCCAAAACTCTCTAATAAGTTTGATATGATGCTAATATTTTTAGCACACAAACATTTTTTCTTATATAAATATTGTTAAAGACATAAAGAATAAGCACAATGAAATATAATTATTTATCATACTAATCCTGTCATTGTTTTTCAAAATATAATCACAGAGGAAGTATCAGTCTTATTTTTCTTTCTACTTACCTGAGGGAAATTTTATTTTGGCCAGTACCCAGGCAATCAGCTTTCCTAGTTACCTTTCTGCATATCTAAACGCATATCTAAACAGCACATACAGAATGCATAAAAGAAACCATATAACAGTGAAGTGACTTCCCCAGAAGTTACCTTACTTTTATGAAACGTACAAGTGCAAAAAACCACCCACCCCTCAACAAGTTGTTAGCTGAGATGGACACGTTTTATTTTTCAAGAGAAAATTTTTCTAAAGGAAACACTAGTCCACAAAGGCAGACAGAATCAACAATTAGTCATGTTAATAGTCAAATCTTTTAGGGGGAAATAAAATCACAGAACCAAGCAAAGAACATACTCACATTCCTTTCAGGCGTTGCCACATTATTTCAGTATGTTCGCCTATGAGATACTTAAAAGTGGTGTTTTCCAATTCTTCAATTTCTGTAGCACTTGACCCCATGATGATGCTCCTAAGGCAATACAGTTACAGTCAGTTTCAGCAGCCAGAACAAGCATTCCTCAGTCCACTACAAATCTCAAACAGTTACACAGTAGCATCTCTTATCTATCAAAACAGTGCTGATGTGCAAAGCCGAAGGAAGCCTCTGCCAGAATCGCTATTGACTTTGACAGGCACATCCCCTGTTCACCACATCACCCCCCTCAAGCAGACAGCAGTATAAACAGATGCTCTGACCTCACAGGAACAGTCCGCACATGTGAGCCTGCTACTGTACTGCTGACCGACTGAGTACTCAAGCTCTCCCGAAGAGCAGCTCATCTGTTACTGTTCTGTGCACTGAAGCAAATAAGAATTCCTACAGCTTACGAGCTCTATTATGCACAAGAGAAACGTGAATGACTTTCGCGCTCCAGAAGAGGCTGAATTCCTCCCTACCAACAGAACGAGAGCAGGATGTAATAAGAAAACAGATGGTAGGAAGCAGTATCGGCAGCACCACCCTGAGAAAAAAAGTGCCCTGTTTAAATGCCAAGGTTTTTGTCTCCTAATTGATCTGGAACCAACACTTAAAAATATATCATGTTAGTATTGTTACTAACAATAAAAGCAACAAATGTTCATGACAACCAAGAGAAAACAACGTATAGAGCCATACAGAAGACAGACCACAGAGCTCCACAGGTTGTTACTGCAAGAATACGTACATCAACTGATGCTGCAATCATGCTTATTCACCTTCTCCTAGCAACTCCACACAGTAGGTAACTGCCAATTTAACCAGTGGAAAACACGACAGCTGCACACAGCCTGCTCTCTGAATCCTTTGGGGATTTAAAAATAAACAAAATAAAACTAGTGTAAACGCAAGGGTGTGCATGTTGAAGAAAAAAGGAGCAGGTGTGTGTGAGAGTGTGTGTGTTTAAAAGAGAGAGAGAGAAAGAAGTAGAAAGAGAGAGGAGATAAATTGATGCTTTGCCGCTTGTGCATTTTAGAAGAAAAATGAGAGAAAGTGGACATAAAAGGAATCAGAACTGAGTTGTCAGCCAAGCTCCCAACACATGGCAAGCTTTCTCTGAAACAAGCACAGACCTTGAGTGTGAGCTCCATAACAGCTATTGCTATCTGCAAGCTGCTAAGAAAAATCTACTTATAAGCAATATTTCTTCTTATTTGTTTGGAAACCCCAGTAGTTTTATTTCTTCCTGCAAGAAAACTTGCCTTCAGTTTTAAGGTAGAGATATTCAAAGATAGTAGACAGGTAATAATATAGAATATTTCTTGAGTGTTTCCTATGTATCAGACACTGTTCTCAGAATCTATTACCTTTCTTAATTCTTAAAAAAGCCTGTGAGGTAGGTAATATTCCTGTTTAACAGTTGAGGAAACTAAGAAACGAAAGACATTCTCTAGACTTACAGCCAATCTTCTAAATATAGGTACTATTATTTTATTGACAAGAAGTCTTCCAATATAAAATTACTACATCTATTCAAATAACACTGATGGTCTCTAACAGTCTAAGTCCTAATAATACACATGTAAAAAGTACCTATGCAAAATTTTATAGAAAATGCCTTCTTATTTACATTAGAAGAGGTTAAGTCAAGTTTTCCTCTCTCAGACAAGGTATTTCCAGAACTCAATCTGAATTTAATGTCTTTAACTAGCAGACAGCTTTATACAGTTAAAACCACATTCCTATAAGCATTCACCACAGTTGTCAAAAATAAGTTAATCTTTGCTCTGAAAGTACCAATTTTATCTTCACTGTGCCTTCCCTTGTAATTCTAGCTACACTCATGTAATAAACTCTAAACAGATTTTTCTTTAACGAAATAGTCAACAAACATTCTAGTTCTGCTCTCAAAGATGAATCACAGCGAAAAATCTCCATAAAAAGCACTTACTCTACTATTATTATTCGATGAGCCAAGATACCAAAATTTTTGAGGCTACAAGCCCTTTGGCTCACAAATGATTTTCTAAATATGCCATGAAATTTCAAGCCTTCACAATGGACAGCTTTAACAAGGTAGAGAATGAGTACTATTCTACTTAAGTATGTGTTAGTGAGTCTTAGCCCATCATTACACTCATTTGCCCTTTGCTCTCTCTTTGTCACTTCTATACATACTGATATTTAAGACCTCAGGGTATACTGATTGGGTTATTGACTAAAAAAAAGCTTAATTATTTCATTAAATGTTTCATAAAATAAAATTTTGAATAATAAAGTAGATAGAACAGTTCATTATTTAAATCCTTGACCAAGATAGTCTTCAGCCTCAGGAAGCATCTAAAAGTTACTTCTGTTGATGTAGAGAAGTCAAAGCATTTTTCTTTTTTTGTTTATAACTAATGTCTATAAGATGTATTAAAAGAATAAAAATAAAACAAATCACATTGAAAAGAACAGAGTAGAACTTAGGAAATAGTGTACAACTTTTTTTTTCTAATATATTGAGAAAAATTTGAGATGTTGCACTCATCAATTTAAACTAAACCAAAAAATTATGACATGAAAAAGAGAAATAAGACAATAAGAAAGGATTCTTAGAAATTAAAATATGCTTGCCAAAACAAAACGTTCATGTAAGTTCTGTGGGGGAGAGTTGAGAAAATATTAGTCCTGTATATTAACAGTCAAAACTGATGCAATATGTCTCTCATCTCTCATAGTTTTCATTTCTTTTGCTTTAACTCTATATTCAGATAATTTATCTCTATTAGAATAAGTAGTTACTTCATTCCTATTTACCTAATATTTTATTTGGAATGGTGACAAAAATTTATAGAATGACTATCTCTTGATGCCAATATATAGTACAGAATAGACTCTAAATCCAGACTATCTGGGTTTGAGTCTCTGTTCTTTGAAAGAATTATGTGATTTTTCACAAGTTTCTACTCTGTATCTGTTTCTTCATGTTTAAAAGGAGCATAATAATAACATCTTCCTCACAATGTTCACATATTAAATGAGTTATAAAGAACTTAAGACAGTATCTGGCACAAAATAATTTTCCTATAATTGTTAGTTTTTATCACTATTGATACTATTGCATGACTTTTCTTCTTTTAACTGTAGTGTAGTTATTTATTCAATAGATTTTACTGATAATGAACCATTTCCCAAATCATTTACCGTTGTTCTTATGCATTGCTGTTGTTCGTTTTGTTTAGAAACTGCTACCCTTATTTATAAGTAAAATTGTTCTAGGTATTTGTGGCACTAACTTTATTGCTTTTCATATTAACATTATATTGGCAGCGTGTAGCAAATGGTAGAGAAAATAATTTTAATTCCTTACCCAGCAAACCACCAGTCAATGATAAAGATGAATGATGACCTATTCAGAAACATCAAATTCAGAAAGCATATCACCCAAATATTCTTTTAAAATAATTTCTTGAGTTAATATACTTGAAAAATAGGAAAAGTAGTGGACTAAAATCAGAAGCATGTACTCTAGCATTAGAAATTGAAAACAAAACCCCAGGTTGGCATCTGTGAAGAAGGGCTAGGAAAAAATTAGTTCAAATTAGAACAATAAATCATAGGGATAAAGAAATTGATGGCTTCTAGAAAAAGTAAATTAAATTCATCAAGAATATTTTTTTCAAAAAAGATTGTTTTATTGATAAAATAAAAACATATTTTTTAAAAGAAATAAAACAAGTCTCAAATTTAGAAACATTCAAATCATACAAAGTATATTGTCTGATCCCAGTGGAATTAAATTAGAAGTCACTAAAAGAAAGAGCTTTGAAACTTTTCCAAATACTGAGAAACTAATTAATACATTTTTAAATAAGCATGAATCTAAGAAGAAATCAAAAGGAAAATTTGAAAGTATTTTGAACTGAATGAAAACTAAAACATATCAAAATTTGTGGGATATAGTTCAAGCAGTACCTAGAAGGAAATTTATAGCAGTGCCTATCTATTAATATATTAAAAATAAAGATCTTATATCAAGACCTCAGGATCCATACTAAGAAACTCTTGCCTTCAGTTTTAAGGTAGAGATATTCAAAGATAGTAGACAGGTAATAATATAGAATATTTCTTGAGTGTTTCCTATGTATCAGACACTGTT